CTCTGGGAGAATATGGACAGTGACCTTCTTGGGGTCAGGACCCTCAGGGTGTCTCTGTGTTGTGCACTGGAGCGTCCTGGGTGCTCCATCAACGTTCACAGAGTGAATGCAGGTTGTTTCATCCTAAAAACTGACCTTTTGGCCTCCGGCTGTTCAACAGAAGCAGTGGGTGATTACACCTCAGAGAGCAGGAGGAAGAATCGGATAAGGGGAAGAAGTCATGTGGAAAGCTGTGTATTTCCTCAAACCCATTTTGAAAACTTTAAGCCACCGCCCCAAAACTGCTGGCAATGTGACAGAGAGACCTGTGCCGAACGCCTTTCTGAGGCAGTCCTGTCAGCCTAACAGATTTATTCTCAGACACCACAGTAATAAAGGATGAATTTAAAAGGATCACACTGGTAACCGAAACGATCATAATCCACCAGGATGAACTTGGGAATTTTGTGGAAACAGCCAATGTTCGATGCATGTGAGCTGCACAGAAATAAGTATCCACAAAGCTCACCAAGCTTCTTCTGTTGAGGAAACATACTTAGTACCATTCCTTTTCCCCAAGGCAAACTAATAATTAACGTGGGATATTAAAAAAAAAAGAGAGAGAGGGGCGCCTGGGTGGCTCGGTCTGTTAAGCATCTGACTTCGGCTCAGGTCATGATCTCACGTCTGTGAGTTCGAGCCCCGCGTCGGGCTCTGTGCTGACTGCTCAGAGCCTGGAGCCTATTTCAGATTCTGTGTCTCCCTCTCTCTCTGCTCCTCCCCTGTTCATGCTCTGTCTCTCTCTGTCTCAAAAATAAATAAACATTAAAAAAAATTTTTTTTTTAAAAAGAGAGAGAGAGACAGAAATGATAAAACAGCAGGTTTTATCAGCCCCCTTTTCGGGGCTTTGCACATCTTTAACACAGAAGAAGAAAACACTGAACATGTGGCAAAGAGAGAGAGGCTCAGAAAAAAATGAAATTTAACATTTATTGGAAAATAATTTCCCACAGCATTATAGTAATCCATTAACCCCAGAACAAACCCGAACTTAATGGCTGTTATCATTATGCAGGACGTCTCACATTTTCCAAGGCAAACAAAACCATCTAAAAACAATGGTGTCTCCTTCGAAGCTCTTTAATGCTTATTTTTGGCAAAATAAAATCCATTACCCAAAGAAGGAAATGCTCAGTGCCAACTATAAGATTGTGCTTTGGTCCAGGGCTTGGGTGACGTCACACACCTATTTTAATAGGAGAAAGGCCCTGAAATTGAATTACTGCCTGGAGATTTTGTGCAGAAGAGGGCATTGGGAAAGGACCTTGTCAGATCATATTTTGTATGTTTTATAAGGCATCTCATAGTATATGTTTAAATCTCACAGATTTTATGCTGGGGCACCAGAGGCCCTGGGCTGTGAGCACTGAGGTGTTAGAGGACAGAGATACAGTGAAATAAAATGCCGTCTCTTCAGTCTCTGCCATAATTCTCTCCACTTATAAAGTGACACTATAAAAAAAAAAAAAAGACTGTGTAAAAGAGACAGAGACAGGGAGAGTAAACATCCCCTGTGAGATAGGGTTGAAAGGCATGCCTGTTTTAGTTGTTCAGTTAATTATCTAGATCAGAATTTCTCAATTTTGACATTACTAACATTTGTTGGAGGTGGTGGTGGGCTGGCTGCCCTACCATTGGACAATATTTAGCTGCATGCTTGACCTCTACCCACTAGATATCAGTAAAGGAGAAAAAGATTTTACTTGCTGATAAAAATAAATAAAAAACAAACAAACAAAACAACTAATGAAAGAAACAGTCCCCTTTTCTACCAAACGCACATTTCTGTGTGTGAATGTTGATCTGCTGTCCTTCATCTTATGAACCAGCCAAGGACCAAGTAAACGCAATGAGGATGACAGAGCAGAAAGAAGAAAAGAACCAGGGTCTTTAAAGATGTAATTGAGCCCCTGGGAACCACCCTTCTTAGACTATAGCTCCTTGAGAGATGAAAGTCCTTATTTTTAAGCTGGGTGACCCTATGGCTTTTGTTACTCTTAACTAATGTCACTTGGTCCACAACAAGGCAGAAAATAGAGGTCTCCAACCTAAGAAAGTGGATAGTCTAAGAGAAATCTTGTGACGATAGTGATGACAATGCCGGTGGAGATTGTGATAATGGCAATGATGCTGTTGATGATTGTGGCAGAGGCATTGGTGATGATGGTGATGGCAATGATGATGGTAACAATGGTGATGGCAATGGTAATGATGGCCATGGTGACGACAACGACAATGATGGTAAGGATGGAGATGGCAATAGTACTTACTGCCTGGAGATTTGGTGGAGTAATGGTGGAGATGGCAATAGTAATGGCGATGGTGATAGTGATGGTAATGATGGTGATGGTGATGGTGATGGTGATGGTGATGGTGATGGTGATGGTGGCAAGGCAGGTGAAGATTATGGGAATAGCAATAGTGAGGTCAGCAGCTACCATTTGTTGGCCTTTGTACAAGTTCTACTTTGGACCCAGTCTCTCAATTTCTTGGGTTGTTATAAAGAGGAAAATACATAGTAGATGCAAAAGTTTCTAAAATGATTAAATCAACCATTGCATTAATAATCCGTTTATTAAATACTGAGCCCTACACTGTAGGGCTCAGACACTCCATCCCTTATCCAGAAGGGAAATTTAAACCATGAGAACTCCTGCCCATGTATGGAAACTCAACTCTAGTCCCATCCCCTGACCACAGGAAAAGCCAGAGGCACTGGCCCTTCAAGCCACTTTCAGACCAATTTAGGAGCTGCCCAGTCCTCCCCTAGACCATTTAATGATGCAATAAATATTTTCATACCATTTTGGTACATCTGTGACATCATTAATCTCAACATCTCAACCAATTTTGGGTTGTGGGAGGTTGGTCCTGCCCTCTGCACAAGACCTCCACAAGGTAAACCCAGTGATATAGAGAATCTAATTATGCCCATTTTATTGATGAAGAAACAGGATCAGAGAGGTAAGTTTATTTGCCTTGCGTCACATAGCTTGTATATAGCAAAGAAAGGATTCTGTCTGACTCTGGAACCTGAAATTCTAATCACAAAGGCTGCATTTTCTCCATATCTGGGGTTTGTTTTAAAACATGTAACAGGAGAGTCACTGTGGAAGATACTTGAAAAAACAACAAGCATTTGTTCACTTGCTCATTCTTTCAGTCATTCCACAAGTAATCAATGGTGCCCCTGCTACATGCCTGCTGTGGCTAGGTTTTGGGGAAAGACATTTGGACACTCAGAGGCCCTTTGAGCCAACTAGAGCCAAATGCTTTTCTAAATGAGGTTATAGGATCCTGGGGCATGGTAGAGGTCAACCAGGCCAACCCCCTGAGGAAGACGCTCAGAAAAAAATTGGCCAGAATGGGCAAATAGATTGAGAAAAAATGGCTAGGGAAGGACCATAAAAAGGTAACCGCAAACCCAAGCAAGTGTGAGGCACCTTGCAAGAACAGGACACAAAACCTGGAAAGAAATTCATTTTAATGAATCATTACCTAAAATTGCTGATGAGAAAGTCACAATAATCCTCAGCATCATAGCTTGGGTTGGGAAACTGCCTCACTCTTGTAATTAATAAAATGAAGAATTAATTTATAAATCAAATATTCATATTAAAAATTCAGAGAGCAGCAATCAATATTTTTCTGCTCGTGCTACATTCATCTAATTTTCTGTAATAAATGACATTAGGAGATGATTATTGGTAAATTAACAGAATATCCAACTGAAACACTTCCCAAGAGTGTTTGCCAATTTGGAGGGCTCATTTACGGAAAATACAAGGCTTGGGTGGATCCTAAGGACTGTGAAGTAATTGACTCCTTATTGAGCACTGGAGAGTTTCAGTTTGAATGGCATGGTGACAAATCAGCCAGAGCCTTTTAGAGAATTAGTGAATTCAATTAGTGAATTGTAGAAACCTATGCCTTTTTTTTTTTTTTTTTTACAATGTGGATCAAGTCTTGCTTGTTCCCATTCTTAGAGCCTGCGACCAGCACTGACATTTGCCAAGCCAAATTGATATTATTCCCCAGAATTTTGAACCTTAAAGCTATGAAGCAAGGAAAGGAAGAGCAAATGAAGGTGCCTTATCACCGTGGCCACAACAGCACACTGACCATGTTGCCGCTGCTGCCTGGCCCTACAGAAAGCCCTTGGTTCTCATTTCCTAGGTTGGTTTTCAAGCCACCTATCAATTCTGAGAACTCTAATGTCCTTCTAATAAATTCCTTTATGCTGGAGGTGACCAGAGTCTGTTTCTTGCTGGCAACGAAGAATTTTGAGTGAGGCATAAATAACCTGAGGGAAGAGGTAAATTGTGCGTTAATCAAGTTTCCTCCTCAGGTTAGGCTGAGTAAGTAACGTAAGAGGAGCTTGCTTTTAAAAAAGATGGGAGAAGGCAGCGGGAAGCCATTTAGCTTTGATAAATGTGAGGAGTGTAGTTTGGAGGGCACCTGTCTCCACCTGAAATGGGAACAGAAAGAATTATGACCAGAGAGAGAGGAGGGAGAAGAGAGCAATCCGTTTAGGCAAAGCACGTGAAATGAAGTCATTATCCAAAAAACAAACAAAGGGTAGATATGCTATTCATGCTGGTGCGATTTTTTGAGGCCCCTACTTAAAAGAATGATTAGGATGAATGGCAAATATGCTGATCTGGTCATGAATCAACACAGTACTTCTGCCTGAGCTTATCTATCTGACAATGTGCTTGCTGACTGTGCTTCCAGGACATGCTTCTCTAGCAAGGCTCCCCCTGCAAAGGCCCTAAGGAAACTGATGGCACATAGTAGGTGTTCAATAAATATCTGTTGAAAGAATGGGGAAGTTGTGACCCCAGAATTATGCCTCTTCTTTGGAAGAGAGGTACAACCTCTAAAAATGGTCACGCACTTAGCCATTCAAGAACACTTATCATCCATTTAAAGATGTTCATTCAATAATTTCTTTCTTTTATAGGTTTTTGTAACCAGCCTTCAAGATGGTCCCCAGTGATTCTTTCATGCTGGAATTCATGCCATGTGTAATCCCTCTCACACTGAATAGAGCTAAATAGAGCTCATATGTATAAATAATTGGGTATTGCAGAAATGATGGCATGTGACATCCAAGACTACATCATAAGATATTGCAGCTTCCACCTTGATCCCTCTTGGATCACGTGTTCTGGAAGATGTAAGCCATGATGTAAGAACACTCAAGCAGCCTTATGCGAGGTCCTCATGGTGAGGAACTGAGATTTCTTGCCAACATCTAGCATGAACAGGTCAGCTATGCTAGTAAGCCATCTTGGAATCAGATTCTCCAGCCCCCAAAAAAACTTTAGAAGACTATAGCATCATGAGGGACCATGACCCAGAACCATTTAGGTCACTTCTAAATATTTTATCAACAAACACTACATGAGGTAATAAATTTTATTACTGTTTTTTTAACCAATTTTAAAAAACTTATTGAAATATAGTTGACATACAATGCTATATTAATTTCAGGTATACAACATAGTGATTCAACAATTCTATACATTATTCAATTTTCACAATGATGAGTATAGTCATTTTATTGTTTTAAACTACTAAGTTTGAGGGTGATATGTTATGCAGTAAGAGGTAACTAATATACTAGATATGTTACAATCCATATGAAAGAGTGCACAGATATGTAGAGATATGGAGTGACTTCTTCAGTCTACTCAAAGTGTCTTCTCCATCTCCAAGTTTCATTCCTAATGAGTAGGCCTCTTTAGAAACTTAGGGTTTCACCACATGGCCAACCCTGTAATCATCAGAAAATTCTCCTCCTAGATCTGTTTCCTCCCCTCCATCCCACTTGCCCAAAGACCCATCTCCTCACATTTGGCTTCCAGAATGGATTGTTAGCCATTCTCTATCCATCCAGTTCCAAAGTCAGATGGGGAATAGGACCTCCAACCCTAAGAGTGGAGAAAAGAGAGGAAGAATTTTCTCCAAAGTCTCTACTCAAAGTGGAAAATCAAAAAATAAAACTCAGACCCTTCACACAATGAGGATTGACCCTCTTTCTTTCCAACACATCTCCTATAAGTTATGATACTCACCACATGGCAAAAGGCTTGAGAGAATCCAGTGCCTGAAGCCAAACGCCTGGTTCCATGGTGAAAATGATGCCATGCTCCTTGCTTTTCTTTTCTCTGACAAATGCTTTAGCTCACTATTTCTCAAGTACATGGATCCCTAGGCTCTTGGGATTCCCAGAGGAGAAAAAAATATATATGTCTTATGGACAAAAAGTTAAAGAATCACTGTGTTCTGTAGCCCCCTCATGGAGATCCATAACATATGCTCATGTCCTACAAAGCAGCCTTTCATTAAGGAAACCTAGTTAGCCCAGGAATTCCCAAATGTGCCTGGACACAGAATGTTTATTCTTGCCTAACATGAAATGCTGCTGAATTAGTGTTCAACAGAACCTTCTGGAAAAAATACTGTTTCAGCCAAAATATTGATTTATTCTTTTTCTGTTCAGATTTTATGGTAAAGGCAAATAACGAAGCATTGGATGCGATCATCACTGCCAGGTAGTGACCTGCCAGGTAGGGACCTCAGGCATGGAGTGAGAAGACTCAAGGTGTTCTGTTTAGTTTTATTTATTTGCTTACTTTAAAAAAAAAAAAAAAAAAACCTTTAATATCCGCAAGAAATTGTAAAAACAGTACAGAGCTCCCATGTATACTTAACATAATTTGATGATAACATCTAACATAGCCACATCATCAAAAAAAACTGACATTGGTGCACTATTAATTAAACCATTACTTGGATTCCATCTGTTTTTACATACACCTTTTTTTGGTATATAGACTTAAGACATTTTATCACATGGACAGTTTTGCACAACCACCACCACAATCAGGATTCAGAACTGTTTTGTCACCATCAAGAAACCCTTTCACGCTCTCCTTTTATAATCACACCCTCTACCACTCCCAGCCCATTGGCAACCATCACTAAAATTTTGTCATATAAATTATGGCAGAAGTGTGACAAAAGAGTTTATGGCAAAACTATGACAAAAGAGTGTTATATAAATGTAAACATACATAACTCCTGTGGTTGGCTTTTTTTCACTCAGCATAATATCCTTGAGATCCATCCAACTTGCCTGTATCAACACTTCATTTCTTTTTATTGCTAAATACATTCTGTTGTACAGATTTAACACCATTTTGTAACCATTCACCTGCTAAAGGATATTTGGGTGACTTCCAGTTATCAGATATTACAAGTACATTGCTATGAACATTTGTGTATAGGCTTTTGTGTAAATATATGTTTTCATTTTCCTGGGATAAATACACAGCAAGGCAATTGCTGGGTTGCATGGTGAATATATACTTACTTTTATAAGAAACAGCCAAATTGTTTTCCAGCATGACTATACCATTTTTCATTCCCACAAGGAATGTGTTAGTGATCCACTTTCTCTGCATCCTTGTCAGCACTTAGTATTATCAGTATTGTTTTATTTTAGCCATTCTAACAGGTGTGTTGTAATATCTTGTTATAGTTTTAATTTGCATTTGACTAATGGCAAGAGATGCTGAACATATATTCATGTGCCTATTTGACATTTGTACCCTCATTTGGTGAGATGTTTGTTCAAGTCTTTTGTAGATACATAATGGGATTATTTGTTTCCTTACTTTTGAGTTTAGAGATTTCTCTATACATCTAAGATATAAGTCCTTTGTCAGATATGTGACTTGCAAATATTTCTTCCTATTCCTTGTCTTTACATCTCTTTACCAGGGACTTTCACGAAGCAAAGCTTTTAGTTTTGATGAAGTCCAATTTTTCAAATTCTTTTTTTTTTATGGATTTTGCTTTTGGTGTCATGTCTGAGATCTTTTTGCCTTAGCCTAGGTCACAAAGATGTTCTTCTAAAAGTTTTATAGTTTTACACTTTACATTTAGATCCAGGATCCATTTTGAATTAATTTTTGTATAAGGCATGAGATTTAGGTCAAGATTTATTTATTTATTTATTTATTTAGCCTAATTTTACCAACACCATTTATAAAAAAGACTATCCTGCCATTTTGTACCTTTGTCAAACATGAGTTGGCCATACTTGTGTGAACTTATTTTTAGAATCTATTATGTTCAATTAATCTATGTGTCCCTCCTTTGATACCACAGTGTTTGAAGATGTATAGTAAATTTTTTTTTTAATTTTTTTTTTCAACGTTTATTTATTTTTGGGACAGAGAGACACAGAGCATGAACGGGGGAGGGGCAGAGAGAGAGGGAGACACAGAATCGGAAACAGGCTCCAGGCTCTGAGCCATCAGCCCAGAGCCTGACGCGGGGCTCGAACTCACGGACCGCGAGATCGTGACCTGGCTGAAGTCGGACGCTCAACCGACTGCGCCACCCAGGCGCCCCATGTATAGTAAATTTTAACATGGACAGAGCCCATTTTTTAAAAATGTCTATTTATTTACTTTTAGAGAGAGAGCATGATTGAGGGAGGGGAAGAGACAGAGATGGAGAGAGAGAAGCCCAAGCAGGCTCCATGCTGTCGGTGCAGAGCACAACACCGGGCTCAAACCCATGAACTATAAGATCATGACCTGAGCCAAAATCAAGAGTCAGATGCTTAACCAACTGAGTCATCCAGGCACCCCAAACCCATTTCTAATCCCAACTCCTTCTCTTACTATGATGATAGAATAATACCTTTCCAAAGATGTCCACATCCTGCTCCTCACAAGCTGGAGCATGTTACTTTGTATGGCAACTGGGATGTTGAAAATGTGATTAAGGTGAAGAACTTGGAGGCTGGCGATTATCTCTGATTATCTGGGCGGGCCCAAACCTAGTCATGTGAATCCTTAAAAGCAGAGAACCTTTCCCAGCAGTGGTCAGAGAAAGAAAAACATGAGGACCGGGAAAGGGATCAGCCAGATGCCACATTTCTGGCTTTGGAGATGAAGGAAGAAGACCATGAACCAAGGAATGCAGGTGATCTCCAGATGCTGGGAAAAGCAAGGAAACAGATTCTCCCCTAGAGCCTCCAGAAAGAAGTGCAGTCCTGCCAACCTTCACTTTAGACCTGTGTTCTATCTCTGACCTACATAACCGTAAGATCATAAATTTGTGTTGTTTTAAGCCATCAAGTCTGCGGTAATTTTTTATAGCAGCAATTGGGAAATTAATACACTTACTAAACGTGGGACCTCAGCCATGTCACAGAATGTCTCTTTCTGTTTCGTCACCGGCAAATGGAGATAACGATGTTCCAAATTTAGCACTGATGTGAGAATTAGAAACGTAATGTCTAAAGTGCCCAAGCACACTGTAGGCACGTATATATGACATGTTTCTTCCTCTATTTCAGGGAAAAGAAAGAGGGAGGGAGGGAGGGAGGGAGGAAGGAAGGAAGGAAGGAAGGAAGGAAGGAAGGAAAGAACCATACAAGAGAAGACATGGTTCTAAGAAAAAGAGCTAAATTAAAATGGACAGGAGTGTTTGAGCTTAAGCATCCATTTACACTTTCTGAACATCAGTCTCCTCATCCGTCAAATGAGGATAATAATACCATGAAAACTCTGGTCACTGACCCACCTTGCCCAGCCCACTCCATTAAGTCACACCCTCGGGTGCACAGCGATGACTGCCCATGGCTTTCCGAACATTCTCTACGGCTCTCAGGGTGCTCTCTGACCTCTCCAGCCAATTCCCCACTTGAACTGATGTTCTGATTAACCTCCCACTGCAGATCTCCATTATGCTGGATGAGAGAACTCATACTCTAGCATGGCCAATTATAGCAGTATAAAACCCCATTGGATGGTCATTAATTAAATGAACTGTCCTGAGTCACTAGGGACAGGTATTCTAGCTGTCAGGGCACTTATAACTCCTCCCTGCCCTGGTGATTCCAGGCAGGTGGAAGACAGCACTGGAGCCTCTGGGGCCTCACCTGACCATGGCAGCTAACGCTCCCTAAGTGGAGTTTCTTTTCATAACAGATGAGGGGCAGGTATTCTTCATGGAGACAGGAAGTACTTCTCCTAACTTCCCTTCCTCTTGGCCCTTTCATCTTCCTCTTTCCCATTAGCCGTGACCTTGGCCTTGCCAAAGGTCAAACAGTAGAATCCTTTTAAGTGAGCACATGCCAATCGTGCTTTGAAAGAAATGATGCCCATCTCTCATCACCAAAAGGTCACATCTAACATGCGCATCAGCCCACAGGCACATGCACATATCCGAATGTGGCTGAGCGCTGTGCTTGTTAAAATTCTCAACTTGGCCCGTTTCTGTTTCAAGCATGCATGTGTGGAATAAACGCCCAGATGAGGGGACACAGTTTGGGTGGGTTTACAGTGGTATTTTTCTGGAGGGCAGGGTCATGTAGTTTTTAAAATCTCCTTTAGGCATTTAAATTCCAATTTATATCTTGTTTTATGAAGGAGAAAAAAAGAGATGAAAACATTTTTCTTTAAAAATAGTTCTGGATGAAGGGAAATATTTTCCAGAAGCCCGTTTGTACAGTGTAAAACATACTGGGCATGTGAAAAGCCACCTGGATTAAGCTGTTTTGGACAAGATAGAAGCCTGATTTGGGGGCCTCACCACATGTAGGTCTGAATGAGGGCTCAACCAGCACTTTCCCACCCAGTGGCAAACATGCCTGGAAGTTTTCCCATACTGCTTTCTGCCAGAACACCTGGCCTTTAAAGCCTCCCATCCCCTCAGAAGAGTCCAGCCTGTAAAAAAAAAAAAAAAAAAAGCTTCAAGAAAACCTACCCTTGCTCAAACATCATTGGTTTCTTCCTGTCTCAATCTGCTTCAGTTCCGGGAGCAAAAGTGCAAGTTGGCAGCCAGGGCAGAAAGCTAAGCCCTTGTGAAAACCCGGATGGCCCCTAGTTATGCTATAGGTGGGCTGTGTGTGAAGAAGAGAATAAGCCCAGCAATAAAACATGTGTTTGATATAAGGAAATTATGACAAACCTGTATTTAATAATGATAACTTCCTGCTACCTGAAACCATCCAGGTCTGTGAACAAGCATCCTCTCAAACATTTGCTCTTAGTGTTTACACTTTGTAGGTGTGGGCAGAGATAGAGGGAGCAGAACAGGAAGCAAGAGAACTCACTCCCAATCATGGTGTAAGGAATGGGATCCCCGTAAGCACTGGCTGGCCTTGATCAGCTGGCAGGAGGTGAGGATAAACTAAACCACTGGCCAGGGCCTGGAAAGGCAAAGTCTATGCATCACCTGACATTGTATTTCATCTCACTGGGGAGCGTGAAAAGATAACCCCTCAAAGCGCTGGCGAGGGTTGACCTCATCTCTTGAGCAGAGTTTCAAGCATCCCTGGTGCCTGCCTGTCTCCAAGGAGGGATGTCAGGTAGCCTCATAGGGAGGAAAGAACCCTGAACTAGGAGTGTCTGACTTTGGGCAAGTCCTTTGACTTCACTTTCACCTGTAAAATAGAAACAATGATCCTGGGAAGTTCCTACACAGTGAACCTCAACCATGCACCAGGCAGCAGGCTAAATACAGTTACACTAAATACACCTAAAAG